ATAGATAGATAGATAGATAGATAGATAGATAGATAGATAGATAGATATTAGCTCATGGCAACTCAAGGTGGCTTACAAGGATATAAAACAGCATATAAAAGAAATAAAAAGAAAAATAATAAAATAATAACCCCCCTCACCTCCCACCCCAGAGACAAAACACATTCATACTAGCCATTTATTGGGCTCCATCTTGCTCTGGGTTCCCCAGGCCCACTGACAGAACTACATCTTCAGGGCCTTCCAAAAGAGTGTTTGAGTGGGGGCCAGTCTTGTTAAATATGGAGAATAATGGAGACCAGACATCTGACCAGTGACTTCAACTGTTTAATAACAGTAAATAGAACAGAACAGAGCAAGGCTATGGGCAGCAGTAACTCTTTTATAGGGTTAGCTGCTACCTTGTTAACCAATGAGATGAGCAACAAGTTCAAACTAATAACCAATAAGAATAGTCCAAATAGTGGCCAATCAGGGGCTAGTTCTGGCCCAATCCAAGTTGTTGTATAAGGACCAATCAAGTGTGCAGGTTTTCAAACCCTGATTTGCATTTAAGTTATTAACTTTTATTGATTCACAACACCCCTCCCCCTTGGGTTCCGTTTGAGGGGAGCTGTAATAAAATCCTCAAGATAGACAGGCCGTTTGGTCTGCCTGGATGATTTCCGAGGCTCCACCGGTTTTGGTCTAAGGTCCGGTTCCGGTGGAGCGTTTGGATGATCTTTATTAATTTCTGTTTCGCTGCACGGTGATTCCGTGCTGCTTTCACTCTGGTTGTCTCCGCTACTCCGTGTTTCTTCGGGGTTTTGCAGTTCGGTTTCCCCCGTATTAAAGTTCCCTGAAAAAGTCAACTCCCTCCCCGCTTCACGTTCCGGTGTCTCGCTGGGCCGTAGGGTTTCCGTTGGCCTGCTATTTGTCATATCAAAGTCAATTCCCTCGATGCTTCCTCCCCCTTGAGTTGGTGAACCCGGGGAGTCATGGCCGCTGGGTGGTAATCTCGATCGGAGCTGGTCTATGTGGCGTTTCCACACCCTCCCATCGTCTGTGAGCAGGCGGTAAGATCTAGGCCCGGTGAGGTGGGTAACGGTTGCGGGTATCCACAACGGGTCGCCGGAAAAGTTTTTGGCAAAGATTAAATCGCCTACCTTAAATTCCCGGCATTTGCTGCTGGAGCCGAAGGGCTTTTCCGGTGCGAATGCGGGGTGGAGCCGGTCAAGGTGCGATCATAGTTTCCGCCCCATAAGAAGTTCAGCGGGCGTTTTGTTGGTTACGCTGTGGGGCGTGATATGCTGTAACAAGAGAATTCGATTGATTTTCTCGTCGATGTTGCCGAGTTCCATTTT